CTGAAGTATACTCACTTCTCACATACCTCTCAAATATTGAAGCGTTCATTTTCAGATGTTTGACAATTGCACGGCGAATCTTCAAATGCTTGTCCTCACTTCCACAAATTGCATATGCCAGTGATCTGAAAAAGCAGTTACCATCTGGTTTGATGCTCTTTGTCTGACATAGATCTGCAATGGGACCAAAGTTTGTTGCAACATCACAGTCACTGTTATCATTTGTCAAAAGCAAGAGTTCACATAAAGCTTGCTGATCTCGAACAGTCAAGGGAGAAAAAAATATTTCTGGAATTGAAATATCAGTAATAATTATGTCATCTACTACAACATTTTCAACATGAGATTTTTTAACCCGTTTCTCAGAGACCTGCTCATCCTGCTTTTTTCTTCTCCCCCTTTTTCCTTTACTTGCCAATACATTAAACACTGGCTGTGGCATGGGAACATCATTGCTTGTATTTTGAACTTCAACCTCAGGTAATTGAAAGCCAGATGACCTTACCTCAGTTGTCACAGATTTGCATACCTTGGTTTGCGTTTTAAGACTTCACTGTAAAGTGCTTTACTGGAAGAGCATGGAAAATGCTGTGGTCTGCCTCCAGCGAATGAGATTTTTTAACCTGTTTCTCAGAGACCTGCTCATCCTGCTTTTTTCTTCTCCCCCTTTTTCCTTTACTTGGCAATACATTACACACTGGCTGTGGCATGGGAACATCATTGCTTGTATTTTGAACTTCAACCTCAGGTAATTGAAAGCCAGATGACCTTACCTCAGTTGTCACAGATTTGCATACCTTGGGTTTGCGTTTTAAGACTTCACTGTAAAGTGCTTTACCGGAAGAGCATGGAAAACTGCTGTGGTCTGCCTCCAGCGAATGAGACTTTGTAACCTGTTTCTCAGAGACCTGCTCATCCTGCTTTTTTCTTCTCCCCCTTTTTCCTTTACTTGGCAATACATTACACACTGGCTGTGGCATGGGAACATCATTGCTTGTATTTTGAACTTCAACCTCAGGTAATTGAAAGAGAGATGACCTTACTTCAGTAGTCACAGATTTGCATACCTTAGTTTTGCGCTTTAGAACTTCACTATAAAGTGCTTTACCAGAAGAGCATGGAAAACTGCTGCGGTCTGCCTCCGGCGAGTGAGAAACTTCAGCATCTGCATGAGCAAAAACTCCAGTTATTTCAAATCGTGGCGCAATTACCCCAAATGACTGTGCCATCTCATTAATGTAGTCATACAAAGATTCTATGGTGCTGTGATAAGCAACACAACTTGTCTCTGTCATGTTAGCATGAGAATCAACAAAGGCATACCATGAACCCTCCTTAATAACTGCACATGTGTTGGCACAAATACATAAAAGGAAAGCATCAGCACTCAATAGAGCTCGCTGAAGAGCTACATCAACTGGCATGGCCACATTCCTTAAGGATTCATCATAGTCATCAACATTAACAAATCCAGTGAGAGATTCTGCATACTCTATGGAAAATACAGTATTACCCAGCACATGTCTCCTTGGTAATTCATGGACTGCAATGTAATGCCTACCCATGACTTCCCGGTCATTTATGTTACCCTGGTTTCGTAAAGATTCATAAAGGCGTGTTCCTGCAACCAATACACCGTTGAGATCTTGTTTTGTCCAGGTCAACACGTTCTTCATCTTGCTCGTCAACACTGCTATTAGACTGATGGCACCACACTGTCTGCCACGTGAATTTCCAAAGCGAGCATCACCTTGATGAAAGGAACCTTTCAGTAGTGGTTTCTGTAGAAATTCAACACATGCAGGTAAAGTATTCAAAGCATTTTCATGTAAAGTTCTGTAAATTTCAAAGTTTTGTTCAGAGTTCTGTGGAGGTAACTGGGTTTTTGACTGGTTTTTGACTGGGTTTTTGACAGGGTTTTTGACTGGGTTTTTGACTGGGTTTTTGACAGAGGTTTCGACAGAGGTTTCGACAGAGGTTTCGACAGAGGTTTCGACAGAGGTTTCGACAGAGGTTTCGTTTAGTTTGACACGATCAAACAAATCAGCCATTTTTTTACGAGGAAGCCGCAAAACCTCGGCTCGACTTGTTTTAAGAGGGAGCTGTGCAGCCTCTGCTTGACTTATTTTAAGAGGAAGCAGTGCAGCCTCTGTTGCACATCGTTGTGCATATAGCCTCTTGGCGATTACCGACCTCTTCTTTGGCCGTGGCATCTGTAAAAAGAAATGTACATGTAAATAAGAGACTGAGGCTGTCCATACTACTGCGTTTTTGTTTAAAAACATAATTAAAACGAATACGATTTCGAGCCACACCAGTGTTTTATCTGCATATTAGAATTGATCTCCATCCACATTAAAATGGCTGAAAATGCGGATCACGTGACCATTCACCAACACTGGGCATGCGCATGCCGGTGTAAACAGGAAACGGATTGACTATTCCTCAGATTTGATGAAGAAAGTAACGTTAGCTACCTCTGCAAAGATTAGAATTGTCGAAGACCAGAGAATTCTTTTCATGGACCAACGACAAGGTGGATGGGTGGCTTACGAATCAGGGAGGTACAATCATAGAGCCGAGCATGAGCCTCTGCATCAGCTTTTCTAAAGTCCACCGTTTTTTCCCTTCTTCACTAAAACGCAGCGTTTCTAAACTTCTCCATTTTAGATCTTCGTTTTTTCTGTTTTAGTCTGGACGGAAGGTGCAAACGTAGCAAAAGGTCTCAGTTTTTAAATGAAAACGCAGTAATGTGGACGGGGCCTAAAGTTCTTAAGATAACACAAGCAGATAACAATTGGTATTCAAATACGACAGATGATCATATCAAATCATAATTTCCAACCAACAAACTTCCCTCAATTTGACTTTTACCAATGCACCAGCACACATGAAAAATAAATATTGTTAACCATCCATGTTTAAAAACTTACATTTTTAACATTTAAACAATATATACACTTTGATTTTTAATTAAAAACATTTACTTACCTCAACTTGCAGTCTTTAACCAATTCACCACTATACATAAAAATAAAATAAAAATAAAAATTCGAAAAACTTACTTTGGTATGCATTAACTTTCCATACATATTATAACTTTATACCAAATCTGTCTGATATACATACATTGTTTTAGAAATCTTGATTTTACATGACATAAAAATCAACTTAAAATTCTGAAAATGGATTACACCACGTGGACTTAAGACAATTATAACATTTTACCACTAACAATATACAAGACATTTTGAATGGTAAACAGTCATGGAGACAGATCAGTCATGAAGTCTAAATGAAACTGACAGATCTGAAACTTAATCATTATGCATTCTTAAAATCAAAGAATTGTTGTAGTATTTTCATATTACATAGACTAAATAGACACTAACACGGATAAAGCATTCATTAAAAATCACCTTTATACAGGGATGTAGTGGAGGCTAAACGCACGTAAACGCCGTTTACGCACCTCCCAATATTCGGAAATAGCGTTTACCCACCTCCAAAGTGCGTTTATCCACCTCTCAATTGCGTTTATCAACCTCTAAATATCCTGCATGTAGTTCCTAGGACATTTTAAATGAAGCTTGTGTCGTTTTAGTTTCATATTGTTCATTATTAATTTAATAGGTTGTTAAACCTAAGACGAACTCTTTCATATTGCGCTGCATTACTGTCAGTGTTGTTGACTATTACTGACGGTAAGGTTGCACTGTTGACGCTCGTGCAGCCTCTCGAGCAGAAATCTACACAAATGAGCGCAGAACACACTCAGTTAACAACATAGGCTACTGCCTATAAAAATCTAAA